TTTATTTCAAAACCGAGAGCGCCCATAGGAAGAGATAGTTATCGCTTAATTCTGGTTAGACCCACATGGATTTTTTATATTGTTCGATCCACTCAAACCTATCTTGTTTTAGCTAGGTATAGTAAGAGATGATGTATAAAGTACCGACTACAAGAAATGATGGGCTAGGTCCAGTGAATACAACTAATGATGGAGAAACACTTTCCTCGTGAAGAAGAAAAGCAAATTCACAAAAATTAAGTTAGAAGAAATCATAATACAAAATTTTGAAAGATTAAAAACTTTTGATCACATGGTTGTATGGACTGAACTTGGACTTTTCTTTAATCCTATAGTTCCTTTTACATTTTCAAGGCAGTGTCTTATTTATACTTTTCTTATTATTCTTTAAATGTAATGACACTCCAAAGAGTTGAAAAAATAGTTTATTTTGAAAGATACTATTGTTTTTGCCTCCAAGTAGGCAACTATGCATCCTAACACAATACAGAAAAAGATCTCACTCTTACTCCACGCCTATAAATACTCTTTTCAGATTGCATAACTTTTTCAACCAATCTGTGTGTTCAGAACAAAAAGCAAAAGAGATGGTTTTGATCAAAGACACAGAGATTGAGATTCCAGTTCTTGATTTTGGTGAGTTAGATGGAGAAAACAGAAGCAAGACCATGTCACTTCTTGATCATGCATGTGATAAATGGGGCTTCTTCATGGTATGTATATATTGTCTTTAAGCACAAGCCAGTGTTTCTAATTACATGTTCCTAGATTCAGTTACATAGCGTTAACTACGAGTGTGCAGGTTGATAATCATGGAATTGATAAAGAGTTGATGGAAAAAGTGAAGAAGATGATCAACTCTCACTATGATGAGCATCTGAAAGAAAAGTTTTACCAGTCAGAGATGGTCAAAGCTTTGAGTGAAGGTAAAACCTCAGATGCAGATTGGGAAAGCAGCTTCTTTATCTGGCATAAGCCGACTTCGAACATCTGCGAGATCCCAAACATTTCAGAGGAACTCAGGTAAAGTGACTAATAAAATGATAGTTTCAAAAGCTTCTACCATTCACCTGTTTTGTTTCTATACTAAAACAATATGAGGGGCTGAAACTGATACTGCAGCACGACGATGGATGAATATGTTTCTCAGCTACACAAGTTTGCAGAGAGGCTGTCCAAGCTCATGTGTGAGAATCTTGGTCTTGATCAAGAAGACATAATGAATGCTTTTTCGGGTTCAAAAGGTCCGGCTTTTGGGACAAAGGTGGCTAAATATCCAGAATGTCCTCGTCCGGAGCTCATGAGAGGGCTGAGAGAACATACCGATGCTGGGGGAATCATATTGCTCCTGCAGGATGAACAAGTCCCTGGTCTCGAGTTCATGAAAGATGGGAAGTGGGTTCCTATCCCGCCATCCAAGAACAATACCATTTTTGTCAATACCGGTGATCAAGTCGAGATACTGAGTAATGGGAGGTACAAGAGTGTTGTACACCGTGTAATGACAGTGAAGCATGGAAGTAGACTGTCGATTGCTACATTTTACAATCCGGCTGGTGATGCCGTAATCTCTCCATCTCCAAAGCTCTTGTATCCAAGAGGCTACCGATTTCAAGATTACCTGAAGCTTTATTCAACCACTAAGTTTGGAGACAAAGGCTCCAGACTTCAGACCATGAAGAAAATCGAAAACCGTGATTCAGCCTAGGATGCATCTGGAATTTAACGCTTATGTATTTCACACGAAATCCGCCCTCTTTATTAAACTTTGTCTTCTTCTTGTGTTTCCTTTATAAAGAGAATAACATCCATGTCAGGATCATGCTGATTCAGCCATGGAACGATCAGTTCACAACTTCCATCGCTTTGTTCCAGTAAAAATGCAAACTTTTTACGCTTATGCTCTTTTCGAGTAGGCAAGCCCTGATGACACAACTTGGAAACTCTTAAGCGAGTCCATCCAAAAACCCTTATGATCCTCTATCACTACTGATGATAGCTCTTATCACGATGTTCAACCGAATGGGAAGAAAGGTTTAAACAACTTCAGTTGCAAAGGGGCATTGTGCATCAAGACGTTAAGAAAATCAACTCACGAAGCCTCAATCACTCTAGAAATCACCTTGCAAATGAAGTTGTTAAAAATTTTATTTCCAAAGTATCAAATGGAAATAACAAATTACTCTCACGGAGCTTTAGCAGACATTGCAGAACTTGGTCGTTGCAGACATTAACACGAAGAGGGACCAAGTAAGCTCTTCTTCATCATTTCCACTTGAAAAAGTTCCAAAGAGAAACTGAAGCAGTCTTATCTTCTACATTACAATGTCCAAATTTAAGAACTTCACTGGACACAAAGCTTGTAACCTGAGCTCATATATTGACAGCCAATTCATAATCTTCAAAAATGTAAAGCAACGCTTAATTTTACATCATGTTCTTCCATATTCTCTCAGACCTGATTTAACTCCTTCCCATTCCCAGACTCAACAAACAGTACTACTAAATCTATATCAGCCTCTAATACTGAAAGCCATGGAAAAACTGTATCAGCAAGACCTATATATAATCACTGAGGCAAACGGGTATGGACTCAAACACTTCTCCAATGCAATCGAATCCCAACAAAAATCCAGACTGAGAAAAATCCATTCGTAATTTGGTTGAGACATTTAATCGAGCACCTTGTGTGCAATCCATCGAAACAAAAAAAACAGACCCTTTAAATCTCCACCCAACATTTTCCTCACCATTCAAAGCCAAATCCCATTTGCGTTCTCTACGTAACTCACTCCCTTTGCTTTCTCTGTCTCTGTTAGCCCACAGAGAAAAACATATCTGGGAAAAATCAGACTCTCAATACCCAAAGTCGTCGGTGCCACGTGGTTAGTTCTAGTTGGTTGATACATTCGGTAATATCAGAAACAGAACTCATTCTCCACATACGCTACATGAAGTCAGTAAGACGCGAAAAAACGCACGTTTGTAACAATCGCGATTTTAAAACCCATTGAAAGAAAAACGCATCTCGTGTCCATAAACATGATCCATGTGACATGATTCCACTCCTAAACCCAAAAAAAGCCGGTCCGACCAGATTACATAACCAGTTCACTTTTTATTACATCACAATAAATTGAATAAACTCCCTCCGTATAAATCAGCACCAAACCGGGATTGATTGTACCGGACCGGACCAAACCATACCGAGCCTCGTTTACTGCAAAAATAGCAGTAACAGATTGGGTTTCACACATCCCATCATCTCTAACCACCGACCTCAAAAGTCAAGAGAATGAGAGGCCTCTCACTTTCATAACTTCATTTTTCTCTCTCTACACATAAAAAAAAAACTCTCAAA